CTTTGCCTGGTAATTAAAATTAGCTGCCTGAAGTCTAAAACTTTGCCACACACAAATAGTTTTAAAGATAATTATGCATACCATATGGCATGTGGACTCGTAAACAGATTAAAAGTTTAGAAAATATAATAATGCAAATATTACATTTAACCTATATTTTACATGTATTGCTTTCAATTCTAAATAACTTAAAAACAATATACTTAATACTACACAACCTATCTTTTATATGAATTTAAATATAATGGAACCTCTATATTTATCATTAATCTGTTCCTAAGGACCTAACAAATATGGAATACGATGAATATAGAAACAATTTTTCTCATCTATATATATAAAAATGAATGTATGTCTGTCTGTGTGTCTGTGTGTCCTATGTCCTTCATGCATTACCACACCGTTTATCCGATTGCCATGAAACTTTGAGAAGTTGTTTAATATACTCCGGCGAAGGTTTGTGGCATAGTACGATTGCCATGAAACTTCGGGAAGTTTTTTAATACACTCCCGCGAAGTACATTTATCCTACGATAGATGGCGCGCGTTTACACGAGCATTCGCGCATAGTGTGTTTGATCGATTTCAAATTGTGAAGACCATTTCCCCCCTTCAAAAATATATATGTCTCTATATATGCATTTGTGAACTGTTATTTACGATATTTGTAATCATTTTTGTTTAATCACTTTATTTCGACTTTTTTTGCTAATTATGTTTTCGCTCGAACTTCGTTAAAATCTTAACTGTACCCCGAACAACGACCGAAGTTGTAGGAAGAAATTCGCCTATTTTACCGATCTAGGTATCGCCCTTTTTCAAATTTTAATATCGACTCGAAATAATTTAAAAAGACAAATTACAATAAAACGGTTTATTATCTAACTATCAGAAATTTCCCAACATGCCAAGGAAGAGAGGAAGGAGCAATTAAATAATTAAAATTATAAAGGATTTAAAAATATATATATAAATGGGGAATATCGCGCTTTTGACAATCGCTGCAAGTGTGTGGGCTAAATTTGGAGAATCCGTGCTTCTCGCATGGACAACTGTATGTGGCCAGCTCACGCGTCGGAAAACCTTCCGAATTATTCGTGTACGCACCAGACGAAAAAACAAAAAATATCGTGTATCCACGAGCACTCCAATAAATAAATAGAATTGAAACGACACTTTGAAATGTTTTCCCGATGAAAACGAATAATAATAATATATTTCAATAAAAATGATAAAATGAAAATTTAATTATATTATAACGAGTTTGCTTGAATTTCATTTCTTCTGAGATCGCAGCAATGCGCGACGGGTAAGCTAGTAATAAATAACTGATATTCAATTAATCCGTTCCCATCCTGAAAAAAAGGTACAAGAATAAAAATTATGTTGTTTGTAAAACTTTATCTTTATTGTACTAAATAAATACAGTATAGTTGTAGAAGGGGAAGAACAGTATTATTAATATAGTAGTATTGTTTAGAAGACGACATATCAATTAAAACATTAGGTAATTCCAATTATGATCATGGGGTCTGTTTAACCAAAGATTCAGTAACACTCGATTCAATAAAGAACTTGCCCAGTGTTGTGTTTTTTTGTCTGCTTTTTAAAACTTTTCCTAAGTAGGCAATTACATCATCATTGAATGTATTTATATTTTGGTTGACTATAGCAACATTTGGGTGCCACTTTGGAGTGATTGGAACTTGGTTTCTTGCATTGATTATTTTTCAATGACTCAACAATACACACAATGACCACACAAAGCAGACTGATTAACTACAGAATAGCTAACACGGCTAGCTGATTGGCACAGGCATGCGATTGTAGTGCCACTGCTGATGTTGGGAATGAAGATGAATACAGAAAATACTGATGAGTATGGAAAAATAGTCATCAAAATGTGATGAATATTGAATATTATGAATATAGAGGTTGACAAATATAGAGGTTCCACTTTATATCTGATAAACATAAAAGAAATTATTAATCTGTAAAGAACAGAAGTTCCACATTTTTTCATTCTTTATTCACATACTTTATATATTTGTGGTGGGGTTTACAACCAATTTATTTGTATTCATAAAGTTAAAATTCACTTATTCACAGAAAGATTGATAAAAATAATGAAACAATGGATGAAAATATAATTAGATAATTTGTAAAGCTCTTATGATAAACATCTAATACAATTCATGTTGTCAACTGTTGAGTAAATTTTCTATGATACTTTACAAATCAGAAAGCTCAACTAAACCATATCTAGTAGTGAAATATCAAAAACATCAAAGAATATCCCTCAAAGGTAAAATTAAAATACTAGATCATCTGTAGAAAGAAGAATCAGTAGTGATAGTTATTTGCTGTTTTGTCATAAAAATGCATTAAAGAAACCAAAGGCAGAAATTTAAAATGTGGTAGTAACTTAAACTCATAGAATCCAACTATTGGGGAAGGAAATAGTAAAGCTTTAAATTGAAATTGAAGATCAGTCACATAAAATTATTTCTTTTGAGTGGTCCTATAATTTGTAAAAAGGCAAATGTATCTGTTTCATCATTTTTAGTGCAAGTACTAGTCATGATCAAGTATGTTTAAATTAATTCTGAAGAACAGTTTCAAAAAATATAAGCAAAAGAATGTTATACATAAAGTAACAACTTAAGGAAAAATGTTTTATTACTTGAAACATCTGCATTACTTTTCATGAAAGGCAAAAAAGCAAAAAATTACACATTATTTAAGGATAAATAAGTACTTGTAATTAAGATCATTAGTCAGGAGGACTTTTACCCAGTGAATCAGTATTGAGAATACGATCATATAAGAAAAATAGCTATAGCATATGGGTACTCAATAAAACTTATAGAATATTTAGCAGAAAAGTATATATAAGACAAGATACCACCTCAGTGCAGAAAACATACCCCAGCTGAGTCTAGAAACATAGTTGTGGAATATAATAAGAGGCTGAAACCAATATACAAAGAAATTACACAATGGAATGAGCTGACATACAAACGGGACAGTACTATATACCAAATGCTGAGAAATGATAAAGATATTATAGATAGGACCAGAGCCTCTGGAATTTATAGCATACCATTAAAAGATGACAGATTTGACAAGGATTTAATTTACATAGGAGTCACAAATGAACCTCTCAGAAGTAGGATTAAAGAATGCAAGAACACAGAGAGAGAGAAACAAATAACAGTGCTATCCATATATGCCTTGAAACCAGGAATTGAAGCTGATTGGAGCAAGCAGCATTGATTAAAAGGTGTTTTACTAGAGAAGAAACTAAATTTTTAGAGATGTTAGAGAGATTTAAAACAGCCTAGAAGAGAGAGTGCATTAATATACAAAATGCAGATTTGTTATCATGTGCTTGAAAAGCTTTTCATGATAACCCCAAAAAAGAAAACAGCAACAACTCAATTAAACTATGGGGTAATGGGGTATTAATATAAAATTATATAGAATAAATTAATTGTAAAATTTAATTCAGCAAATATAAATTTCATAAATTTCAAAAATAATTTAAATTTTTGGATTCAGTTCAAATGTAGAATGCTATTGAACAAGAATTATAAATGGAACATGTATAACTGACTTGAAACAGGACAGTCAAGCTGTTCAAAAAGTTTCTTCGCTATTAAAGTAATACTGGTATTAAGCAAAGGTGATTAGTACTTTTATGCTGCAATATTTATTTTTAACTTTTTGAAATAAAGTAAATGAAAATTCATTTGTATTAAAAAGTGATTTTATATTTCAATCATATATATCTTTAATTTGCTAATCTTATTTTCACAATGTATTTGTCCTTTCAGCATTCATGACAGTATTCAATAGTTTTACAGAATGTAAATCCTGCAAATAAGGATGAACTAACCATTGTGGTTACTAATCAAAGCAAAACTAATCAATGCACCTTTAACAGTGAGAAATGTAACTTCACCCATTGTTAATGTTACATTAACTAGTTCAACTCTTAAAATATGGAGCTGCTATGGAGTTTAAAAGGAAAAAATTATGTTTAATGACTGTAAATAATTCTTGCAAATTTGTAATTAATTTTTAGAAGTTTGAACAAAACTGAAACAAAATTATTGATAAGAAAAAAATTATAAAAAAATCAGCTTGACAAATATTTAAAAGAACTATTTGTAACTACAGTAGTTTATCTGAATCAATTGGAGACTGGTGTTATTTGGATAACTTATTTTTCGGATAACCGATTATGTATGAAAAAATATATTAACCTATCCCATGTGAGAAATTTTTCTCCGTTGTGTGTCACTTCGCATTGAATTTTCGTCAATGCTAAGCCTGACATAAATTTTAAAAAATAATAATCGTGGCTATTGTATCGTTAAAAATTAATTCTTTATTTTGTACAAACAAAATAAATATATTGAAAAATATAAAAACAAAAAAATTATATTTTGGAAGTTAATCTAGTATCAAAAACGTTCGATTCAGCATGACAGTCCAACTGGAATGCTTTTTGTTAACCGACATTTTGGTTGATCAGCTTTCGGATAAATGACGCTCTACTGTATTTGTTTAAGGAGGAGGAGTTTGAAAATAATATCAGTAAATTTTTATCAGTTTAATTTGTTGAATGTAATAATATAAATTAATGGATTTTTTTTTTACAAATATAAACACCTATAACCCAATTCTTAGATTAAAGCTAAATGATTGACAGATTACATTTGTCAAGAAATGGCCTCTATGCCTACCTCTAGGCCGAATTACTTCACATTTAATTATTAATTAGTAGCATTAATACAGCTCAAAATAATCTGGCAATCGATTGGCTTATTTTGAAACTTATAAATTAAGTTATTTTTCATAATGTTGCCATTGTTCCATCTCTATGCAGATGTTAATGACAAACCTAAATTTTATTGTTTAAGATATATTAAATAATATTAAATAATATTAATGTCAAAACACTTAAGAAATAAACTGATATAAATCAATTATACCTTTTTAGGTGTTGAACTTTGTAAAGGAATACTTATAGATCTTTTCTCCATTAATTTCTGTACAGCTATTGGATTTCGAAGTGGCGATTCCTGACATAATAAAATTGAAAAAAGTTATTTGCTAATTAGTTAATTAACAAATTGATTATATAATAAATTACAAAACAAATAACCTTTTTTACCATTTTACTTGTTGGTGGTATTGGTTGATTTGCAACATTTACAAGCTTCATTAGGAATGCTTGATCACTATCAGCATAAACTTCAACTTCTCTATAAAGGCTCTGAAATTAAAGTTCTTTACTTTTGTTCCTAAGTGTTGGAATAAAAATACTACTAACTTAACTTACTCTTTTTATCAATGGTCGAGATACAGCAGTATTGTATGAATCATCTGGAGCTACACAAGCAAGATTTTCATATAATATTGCAATTTTTTTCTGACTGTCCCAACCAGATGGACTAAGATTAGAAATAATATAAAATTTTGAAAATATTTTAATCAAGATAAAGCCAATTAAAGCTGATTAAAGCTCAAATTATAAAATTTTCTCACATAAAAATAATATCTCTGTCAACAACTAATGCAGGTGTCCTGAAAGGAAAATCGTATATCTTATGCAACAAGTATTTCCACAGTACATCACAGTTTTTGTCTTCTTTTACAGAAGTATAAATAAGGGAAGCTCCATCTGTACGAAGTCAAGGATAAAGAACTATCTGTATTCAAATTTAATACATAAAAATGCATGTACTCTACTTATTATAATAGCCAAATTTTACTTCATTTGAAAACAACTAAATATTTAAAATAATTGAAAACTAAAGTTAATTTTAAAAATAAATACTTATATACATAAAAAGCTATTTTCAGGATTATTATACTGTTTTGATGTATCCCACCATGTATATATATGTTTTATTCACTAATTTATGTTATCTGTAATTTCTTCATCTACGTAAATAACCTGCACTATTTTTCCTTGTTTAACTCTTTCGATCTATATGCGCTTTCTGGCTAGTTTTGGGGCTGAAATGGGCACCAACCGACAAGTCAGCGTAGGAAGATTTTTCTTCTTTGTTCATTCTTGGAGAAGGAAGCGAAGGGAACATGTCCATGTGGTCAGGTAGTATATGCTAAATTCATAGTGGTAAACGTTGGAAGATTGCCCAACTCATTATACAGATAAGGGGAATTTCCTTCTAACATGACCTTTCTGTATTCTTTTTTCTAACCTAGGTTATATTAGTTTTTATTTTAAGTTAGCTATAATTTGTATTATAATATGATCCTAACAGATTGTGTACTGGCCGGTTTCAGGACCCGCACGTGTAACTGGATATATGAGCTTTGTGAACAAGGAGAAAAAAAAGGAATGGTTTAGACCAATGGTTCGCAATTAGTGGTACGCGTACCCCTGGGGGAACGCGAAATTGCATTAAGGGGTATGCACGGCAATCTAAAATCGGTCAATTTAAAATTTAAATGCATGAGATGAAGCAATCAAAAATCCATCAAAAATTCATCAATTTACAACATGATGTCGAATGCATAAATTCGTTTATTTATAACTAAAAATATTCTCAAAATTTCATCAAAAAAATGCATTTGTGACAATACCTAAATGAAATTCTTATGCAAGAAACAAAAATTGTACAATTAACACAATAATGTTAATTGTACAATTATCATTATTATCGGCAATAAAATATTTACTACCATTTTGCACAACATACCTGCAGCCATGACAAATATGAAAACATCGTCACCGACTTCAACTCGATGACTCAAGACTGAAGCTGACCAAAAAGCAACCAGATTTTACAAAGTTATGCAAAGAAAATCGTGTGCATTTGTCGCATTGAAATTAAATAACCTTATGTTATTTTCATTATTATTAGAATTGTATTTTAAAGGTAATAAATGTAAAAAAAAAACTTATTTTATTTATTACTCGCTGTCTACCCACAGCTTCGCCCGCATTATATCGAGTTTTCTCGTGGGAGTAAGATATTTTCTCTCAGTAAAATGTAGCCCATGTCCATTTCCAAGATGTAAGCTATCTCTGTGCCAAATTTTATTAAAACCTGTTCAGCTGTTTAGACGTGAAAAGGTAACAGACAGACAGGCAGACAGAATTACCTTCGAATTTATAATATTAGTATGGATTAATATGAATTTCTGCTATAAGGGGTACGCGAGTTTGAGCTCTTTCTTGAATTGGTACACAGGAAAAACTAATTGGGAACCACTGGTTTAGACTTATGTACTTCAAAACGGTTAACGTGTAATATTATGGACAGTTTCCAGATCATGTATTTTGAATAATTTGTAGGTTAACTGTAAATAAATAATTTCCTTTATCGTTAATTGAAATTTGTGTTAATACATGGTGTATTATTTGCATAATATGGTTTTCATTAACCTGTCACACCACACTGTTAAAACAAATTAAATATTAGTAGCTGACATTTAAAAAAACTTTAATGAAAGCATACTGAAAAATATACTATACTTATGCTATAAAAATATAAGATGAAATACAATCATTTTTCCATTTATCAGGTATAAGAATTAATAAACTGAAATTTGAGTAAATTAGAAATAAGATAAAAACTAGTAAATTGATCCAGATTTCAATTAATTTTTTGCTCTTCCAATAATATTTATTTAAAGTGATATAGTTTAATTAATTATTATATAAATATTCTAAATTAGTCAAGAATTGATAAATGGTAGTAATAATTCGACCATTTAGGTATTAAGATTGTTTTTAAAATTATTCAATTGAAAATACATCAATTCACATTTAAATTTTTCAGTCTTACAGATACTTAAGATGATTTTTTCTGCTCATTTTAGATTTTTTCCAGTAACTCACAATGGTGGGACTGGTGATGATGAACAGAATTTGGCATAACTGAACCAAATCATCCATAAAAATTTGACAATCCAAACTTTAATTCAGGTACCTTGAAGAGACAGGCTGATGCTTTTATCATGGGCATCTGCAGGGGGACAAATAGGGCACTTGCACCTCTGACTGAGTAAATATTCCACAAATTATAATCATAAAAGTGAGATATCTAACCTTATACCATCAACCATGGGATGCTTTGTTTGTATTTTTGTACACTATTGAAGAAAGTCAATTCAAACAGATGGCGTTCTGATCGTGTACATGTTGTGCAGAAGAATAGCTTGCACTCTGAAGTTCAACATCTAAAATGACAGGTGATGATGAGCAGTAGTCCAGAAGGACCCAGTCCAAAGAGACCAAAAATTATGAAGAAAATTGAAGAAGTTGGTGACAACCAGAAAGTGCCTGCGCTGAATAAGTTGGCTCTCCCTACTTTGTTCAAAGAATTAGTGGTGCAAGAATTCTCTATGGATAAAACTCCCCTCATATCATCTATCTTCTATAGCAGTGCAGATGAACAGAAGAGGAAGCCTTGAATTCGGCCTATATGATAATGATGATGGGGCTGCGGCAATTTGGTAAAACCATAAATCTTGCCAGTATAGCAGACTTTGTGAAGTTTGAAGTCGATCAAAATGGAGAGCCATTAACTAAGAGTAACCTTGACACACACACACACTGTGGATGATACACCCAATTACAATTTCTTCTCTGGAAAAGGGCTCAAAGTAATGGAAGACAAACAAGTTGTACACTCTCATTTTGGGAAGTACCCATTAATTAATGAATGTTAACTTCTTAAAGGGTGGTCGAATTTGAAACATGAATGATGCACTGAATGCATGTAGCATTGTGGTTCATGAGGCATATTCAAAACATCAGTATCTTTATAACAGTGCACTTTCAAAGTTAAAAGAGGATGAAAAAGCAATGTGCAAAAAGCGGTGTGATCGAAATGGCTGGTTGGTTGCTGTTTTTTGGCACAACAGCTACAAAGACCAAGCTGCGCCATGCTAAATGGTTAATTTGCCCAACTCAATACGCATATATTATATAAAATAACAACAAAGAGTATATACATAATAAGAACAAACAACAGCACACAATAAGGTGAAAAATAAATAAATAGTTAAATCTCTTTATACAAAATTAGTGATTTTTAAAAAGTCCAATACATTATAAAGATTGTGCCTCTGGCCCAGAATCTCTGTCAAACACCCTGTCCCAAAATACTGTCTATGCCTGGTCTCAAAGGCAGAGTAATCGAACAGTATGTGTTTTACAGTAAGAGGACGGTTGCAATGCTGGCATACTGGCTGCTTGTCACCCTTCAAAAGGTATTGATGAGTCAACTGAGTATTTCCAATTCTCAAACGAGTGAAAATAACCTCAGATCTCCTGTCATAGAGTTTCTTATGTGTCCAATTTTCTATCATAGGTTTGATCTCATGTAGTTTTTTTGTGGACTTGTGCATTCCACACATTTTGCCATCTCTCTGCTAGTCATTTTTTAATGACTAGCTTCAAGTCAGCTTCTTCAATAAACATTGTATGCTGAGACGGACTTGCTGACTTTGCAGCTGCATCAGCTTCTTCATTTCCTCTTATACCTACATAGCCTGGGACCCAACAAAATTTTATAGAGAGATTGCAAGATGGCAAATCAGATTATGGATTTTAATCAATATAGAGTGAGAACTAGGTTCAGATGAGATCAAAGCCTGAAGTGCACTAAGTCAGTGTAAATCACGCAGCAACGATGACCTTTCTTATTTATATACTTTAGGGCTAAATAAATCTATTTATATACTTTATTTATATTTATATCTTATTTATATACTTTAGAGCTAAATAAAATTTCACACAATATATACAAATACATTAATAAAAGTAGTATTAATAATATAGATTGCCTAAAAAAAGCTGGTATTGTATACAGGTTAGAATGTGATTGTCAGAATCCATATATGTACATAGGTGAAACAGGGCGCATGTTAGATGTTAGAATAAAAGAACATGAAGCGGCAATTAGATTGAAATACAATAACTCTCCATGGTATAATCATACAAATAACAATAATTGTAAAATTAACCGTAATAATATAAAAATTCTGCATTTTGAAAGAGATGTTTATAAAAGAAAATTTAAAGAGCATTTAGAAATAAGGAAACAAAAAAATAATTTGATAAATCTCTCAGAAGGTATGCAAATTGATTGCCGCTGGTATAAATTAATAGATGGCACTAAAACAAGTTAAAATGTTATAATTATGTTTAAACGTGGTAAAATTATTTTGTAAAAGAACTTTTTCATTGTAATCCTGATACTGGTATAATGAGGATGTTGTTTGTGTATCAAAAAAAGTTTTTACATACGTATATTAGGTTTTTGCTATGTTAATAATTTTTTACTACGTCTGTTGTACACCCATGTGTAAAAAATTTTAAATGATTGTGAGTATTATAAGTTTGTTTGTTGGAAGTTATAATTGTTTGAATTTTAGATGTATGTTAATATGGAATACACAATTTTAGGTTAAAATATAGATTAAGGATGAGGATGGTTTGCCCTCCCACTCCCTAATTTGTGAAATAAAGAAACAATTTTTATAATTTACATAATAAGAAAATGTAAGTGTTTTTTGTGATTTGGTTTGTTTCATATAATATAACATTGTCATGTTTTAATATTTCTTGTTTTATTTGAACTAGCACTGAGGAGGGGTTGGAGTACATTATACCAACCCGAAATATATTTGTAGTCCAATGAA